GGGCCACTGCCCCTCAAAATGTCTGTGCATGGCCCTGCTCCACACGGTGCACCAGGAAAGAAAAATATATTAAAATCACCATTAAAATAGTTTTTTATTGGTTTATTCGAAGCCATCTCTTACCAACAATTTACTTACTGTCATCGTATTTGCATCATGTGCTTGCAAATTGAAGAAAACGGTTTGTTATCCTGAGGCAACACGGTGCAATAGTTGGCCAAATGAGTTCAGTCGCGCCCTCTAGCGGTCAGTCGATATATGATGTGGGCGTTTCCACACAGCTAAAGTCTTCCACTTCCCGAGACATCCACCTGCATTCAGTCAACCAATAGGCTTTCTGGCACGGTGACATCTCAAGTACACAAAAGGGTTAAAGGGAATTGTTGAAGTCACTTTGAAAGAAAGACGCATCTTTGCAAACCATGGTGTCTCGACGATCACTTACAGTTGACACTGAGAAAGCGACAAGGACGACATATGTGCTCGGAACGGAGTTGACGGTCAATTTAAACAGGTTGGCTAATTTATTTCCATGTACTGTATGAATAAACTCATATGAATATTAGAACTTTGTTTTATTTTAAATGGACAGTCATTCTTGATGCGTTCTTGTGTTTGAAAACAGCGCGACGGTGCTCAAGGGAATTAAACACAACGGTCTATTTTAACAGCGCGAAAGACATATTTAAAGGGACAGTTCACCCGAAAACCCCTTTATTATTTACTCGCGCTTTTGTTGTTTCAAACCCCGTTTGACTTTCTTTCTTCTGTGGAGAACAAAATGAGAGCGGATGTGACAGACGCAGTCTCTATTGACTAGCGTTGCATATTGTTTCTTACAATATGAGTGAATGGTGACCAAAACTGTCAGCCGCCAACATTATGATATGAAAAAGTTTACGTGTTACAAACGGATCAGTGTCAAATGAACTCCAGCAAAGGGTTAAAGCGTGTTACTGTCTGACCACTGAGTTTAGTTTAGATCAAAGGAACATATTTAAGGAATTCGAATGGAAAATAAAAGGATTCATTTCAAAATGACTATTATTATTTTGACGAGCACATCATTACAGACTCTGGGAACCCAAACATAAGGAACAGTCCGTTTAAACACAATGTCACTAAAAAGGATGCATGCATACATAGACTGACAATTGAAATACAACAC